TCCCCGCCGAGCTCGGGCCGCCCCCGGGCACCGTCAGAAGGGTTTCGCAGCACTTTCTGGGTGCCCCCAGGCACGGTCCTTGGGGCTTCCGGGAGGAGGTCGGAGGTCGCTAGGGCAGCTCGGGCAGGAGGCGGAGGACCGGAGAGGCCTCGACCGCGGACCGCACAGGGAGCAGGAGCAGGGGCCCCCGTGGTCGGCGCCGATGCGCGGGGCGTCCTTCAGCTCCGTGATCCAGTTCCTGAGGCTGACAGTCGGGGAGCAAGAGCTTAGGGCCGTGTGGGGATGTAGCTCAGTGGTAGAGCGCATGCTTTGCATGTATGAGGCCCCGGGTTCAATCCCCGGCATCTCCATCACTGGGACCTTTAAGGGTGTCTTTTTAAAGAAGACCTGCGGTTTTCAATCTCTGAGAACACTTAAATATTGCTAAATTAATCCTAACGCGAGGCCCCTCTCCTGGGAGACTTCACCTCGATTCGCGTTGTTGTCTGCGCTCTTTATTTAACCTGCGGCCTCCGGACATTTTGCGTGATTCTTTGTGTGGTGTGAATCCAGGGACAGCAGGGCCCAGTCCCTGGGCAAGGCCCATTTGCGGGAGAGGGGAAGGCTATGCACAGGGAAAGGCCCCTTTCACGACCGGCCGGTCTTACTGTGAACCCAAGACCCTTAGGATTTCTTTATTTAGAAGCGAGTTTCCTGGAAAGGAAAAAGACCTGAGTAACGTTTGTTTCTGGGCTGTAGTTTTTCTTTTTTTTAAGTACAATTCTCAAATTGCAATCTTCTTTGTCGCCTTTCATCTCTGCTTTACTGCTCCTGCCCCACACCACTTAACTATTGCTACCTTGGCCTTTCCTACCAAGCTGATTTGGACTGTGTGTGTCCAACCTGATGTGAGCCCTGAATGCACCTAGTCTCGCTCAAGGTGCAGTATTTTCTTCTTATTAAGAGCTGAGTGCTGACACAGCCTTGCACACAGAGCCTTGCAAACCGCCCAAGAGGGCGCTGGAGCAGGTCCCCGTGCTAGCGTTGGTCTCTGCACCAGGCGCCCTGCCGCAGGCCAGCGAGGTGAGATCAACTGAGCAACAGGTCAGTGCTGGCCTGCCCACCTTCGCCCCGTGGCACAGGTTTCCTTTGTACTTTGTTGTGTATTTCCTCTGTCCTGACACTGTCAGGGGACCGGGCCCAGGAGGCCACCGGAGATGTGACCGGCATGGACAAAGAGAAGCCTGGAGGAGCCCATCGACTGCCATGTGGAGACTCCGGGGGGCCTGCAGCCTGCAATGCTGTCTTCTTGAAACTACAATTTTCAAACGATGATTCTCCTCGTCTCTTTGCTGCCTGTCTTTATTTTTTCTGTCCTATCTCAGCAGGACTCACATCTCCAACTTTCTCTGTTTTCAGCTGGGCGCCCTGGAACGGCGTTGTTTAGTGCTCTATCTCTGCCTTGCTGAGGAGTCTGAGGATCGCACCGCAGCCTTGTTAGCCTGTTTTATTTTTTCTCTGTCTGAACGCCTGCTCTGCCTTCCTCCATCTCATTACTTTACTTCCTGGCTTCTTTATGGGTTTGCATCGCCTGATATGCAGCCGGACAGCACAGCCGCCCTGCACAGAATCCTGCGAGGACTCGGGCAACTGTGGACATACGCTGTTCACCCGCTGTACTGGGAAGGAGGGGCTGCACCTCAGGAAAGACACGGGACCTTTGGGAAGGAGCAGGCAGGCACAGCCAGGCCAGAGGACACGGATGGGCTGAGAGATTCTCCTGTCCTCGTCCTCCTTACAGCTTTGTATATTTGTATGTCTTCTCATAACACATTGCTTTGGCGTATGTTTTTAACTACTTAAGTGCTATCATTGACGTGAGTCATTACCTTTCTTGCTCTTTAAAATCAGCACACTGGTTTGCTGTGTGTGTGTTTCATGGATTGTGCTAGTAAGTACACACGCACCCCTGGTGTGTGGACACCCTGGCACTGCGATCTAGTAACACACATATCTGTCCTGACCTCCTGACAGGGGGCTTCTGAACCCCTTGAATAGGGGGAAGTAAGTCTTTGGCTTGAATGTGCATTTGGCCATTGACCCCATTCCTGACACAGGGCTCCCAGGACCTTTCTAGTTCTCTGAGTGCAGGCCCATATTTTGTTCCCATGACTTACCTCTCTGTGGGCACCTGTGTCAGATGGTGTCAGATGGTCAAGGAAACCAATATCTATGATGACAGGGCTGGACCCTGCAGAGAGGAGGGGATTTGGAGATGAAGTCAATCATCAATAGCACTAGTTTAGAACCCCAAAGGACGGAGCGGGGGGAGCTGCTGGATTGCCAGAGGGGTGCAGGTGACGGAGGCGTGCTGGACCACAGAGGGTGTAGGAGCACAGTGTCCTGGCCAAAGGGCACCCCTGCATCCCTGTCCTCTGTACCATCCTGTGAGGCGAGGGACAGGGCAGTAGGGAAGGTTTCCAGAGGTCTGTGGCTGTCGGAGCCCGAGGACCTGAGTGGGCCTGGAGCTGGCTCTGGGTGGGTGTAAGATGACCCTCAGCCTGGGACTTTTACCCAGAAGCGTTCTCCTTGAAGATTGGGGTCATACACCTTTTTAAAATGTTACCACCATATTATCACAACCAACAAATTACTAAGCTTTCTTAATTTACTCTAATGCTCAGGTCATTTCCAGTGGTTTCATTTTCCAGTTATTCTGCTGGGCTCAAGAGCCAAGCATTTCATTTTTTCCTGTCTCTCTTCAGTTCGGCTTCAGTGTCTCTTGTCCCCAGTGCCATTGATTCTTCAGTTTGTCCCGGAGGATTTTCCACGTGACGATTTGGCTGATGACATCCTTACCGGGGGACTGCACACCTCCTAGTATTTCAAACAGATGACAGAAAGAGATGTTAGTCTCACTTGCTTGATTATGCAAAAGCTTACATCGTTTAACACAAGTGATTTATCAGAGGTCCTGGATATGGTACGCTTCACTAATCTAAGAGTATATTCGCCTCAGCTTTGATGATAGGAAGCTCTCACTGGCTTCAGAGGTGCCAGTATTTTTCATGTCTGACAGTTTGGCTGGCAGCTCTGTTGCTATATTAAGCAGGAGTAGATGATGGTAGATATCCTTGTCATAAAAAAGACTGAGATGTATTAACCACAAAATACTTTCAAAAGATTTAGATAAGTGGTGCAGACCATAAATACCTATGAGCAGTATGTATTATGCGGAACTATGTCTAGAAAAACATCCCTACAGATCAATAAAGTAAAAAGGGCTAACTCATAAAAAGTCTTACGTATGTATCAACCCATATTTTTAGATACATCTGGCCTGGGCAGTGAGCTTTGTTATTGTGTTGCTGTCATGGTTTATATTGGTGGCTCCCAGGCCTCATGCATTTGCATTGTACATTTGTGATTGGTTGATCGTCTAGCTTGGATTGATGGTGTCAGTGCTACAATCATCTAGGGGTGAAGCCAGGATGTGATGTAATGGCAGGAAGAAGGAGTGTCTTGCTCTCTTGCTGGTGTCTGCCTTGCTGTTTGCAGCCGCCGTGAACTGTGGCCCAGCCATGCCACCCTGCCTTGGAGCCACCTGAGTGTGGACTGAAACATCCAAAAACAGTAAGAAATAAACCTTTCCTTTCCTAACTTTGGACATCAGGTATTTTGTCTCAGCAACAAGTAAAAAGTAACTAACTAAGACAATTGGTTATGGCACACAGATGCTGTGTGGGGTGTGTCGTACTCAGGGATTGTGAGGAGAATAATTAAAATCGGGACATGGAATTTATACTATTATTTTATGATGGTCATCCAGAGTTAATATAAAGTAAGTGCAGGAAATCTGTCCACAATACCAAAGACAGAATATTCAGCCAAGGTCCTAAATCCCACAGCAATGTCCTGCATGAGTTCAGATGAAAACCTAGAGCCCATGACAATGCCTCCCATGAGTCCAAATGGAGGTCTAGAGCCCATGAGAAGGACTCACACCAGTCTGTTTTATGGATCCACACTGGGAAGGCCAAAAGGTCAGTGGCGGAAGCCAGGAAGTCTATGCCAACAGGGTGAAGGAGCTGTACTGGTAGGTTGAGGATTCTACGCTAGAGCCGAGAAGTCATATCACAGCAAAGACCAGGGCTGTCCTGAAAAGCACCACAGCCATCCTCAGCGACACGGAGCCCCTGAGCTCCTCTGACGATAAGCACGGTCGAGTACATACCAGGAAGCCAGTGTGATGAGTTCATCCTGGAGATTAAGCAGCACACATCTTCCCCTCCGGAGCCAGGAAGCCATCCATGCTCGATGTGAGGACCAAAGCTTCTCCAGGAGAACTAATGGCTGAAGCAGCAATACGTAGGAGAACTCACAATGCCTCCCTTCTTCTCTATGTCTCTATTAATGCTGGCAACTTTCCTCAGGTGGAACATCTATGCTCAGCACATGGTGATTTAATTCTGCTGGCATGAAGTTGACCACCAGTTTTTAATCTATAACAGGATACTTGTCAGAGATGGTAGAAGTGGCAGTGGCTCCAGATTAATGTGGTAGGCAGTCCTGTCTGCATCCCTCCAGGTGGGCCAAGTGTCCCCTGCTCCATTCCCAGTTCTGCTTGGAGTCAGGTGCTGTGTGGGCAGAAGGAAGAAACAAAGTCTTTTTTTGTTATTTCACCTTCAGGGTGTTTCTTCTTCCAAGAGCTCCAGGGTGTTTGTTTTGAGCCAGGATCTCACTACACAGTCTAGGCTGGCCTTGAACTTGGAGCCATTCTCCTGTCTCCGCCTCCTGAGTGCTGCTATCACCAAAGAATTCTTTAGTGTTAAAAAGAAGTTTATTATTCTCCTTTACACTTCCTGATGATTCTGGTGATATTCAATTTATTTTCCAAAAGAAGACTGTTAAACAGGCAACATTCTTGATGTTGAACCTGGAGATTTAGGAAGTAGACACAGAATAATGTCAGATTTTAACTGCATAAATTACACTAGGAGAACAATTCACTCTAAGTAGGTTGGAGGTGCCAGGGATTGAACCTGGAAACTCGTGCATGCTAAACATGCACTCTTCCACTGAGCTACACCCCCACAAACTCAAGGAGGACCGCTGCAAATTCAAAGCCAACCTGCACTACGTAGAGTGATCAAGAGAAGCCAAAAAGGAATCTCCACCGATTCCCTGGAAGAGGAACCCCTCCCTTCACAATAGAGTGGGATACGCCACGCTGGAGGTGCCGGGGATCGAACCCGGGGCCTCGTGCATGCTAAGCACGCGCTCTACCACTGAGCTACACCCCCACCCGGCGAGCAGCTGTTTAGATGGTTGCTGTCAACCAGGGCCGCCACAGCTTTTCTTTTGAAACTTGACACACTGCAGGGGACCCCGACGACGAGCTCTTCCTGCGGGCGGGAGAAGCAGCGGGTGGAGCCCGGGCCGCAGGGACCGAGGTCGGCGCTGCCCCGGTCCCTGCCCGCCAGACCACAATGTGGGCTGGGCGCAGACCCGCGTGGGGCGGACAGGCGCAGGGTCTTAGGGAACCGGAGCCGCAAAGAACCACGGCTTCTTCGGGTTTGGGGGAAATTTTCCCATATTGTTGGGTGGGGAGCGGACTCAGCCGCGTGCTTCTTGGGCTTCCCCGCGTAGTCCGCCGTCCTCTCCGCATCGCCCGCAAGCTCGGGAAGAGAGTCACCATCCGGGAGTGGGGGGCGCACGGCCCGGTAGGGGGCGCAGGGCCCGGGGATGGGGAGCCCACGGTCCGGGAGACGGCCCACCTCCTGGAAGGGCATCAGCCTTGTTTACCGGCGGGGCTGTTTTTACTTTTTAACCGGTAATTTGAACACTTTTGGCGTTCCCTCGGTCTGCTCCTTTATCTCGGGATCAGGCTACTTACTGTTCTTTACTTTTTCTTTGAAGCCATTTTATGGACTCAGCATTCCTGGGGGATTTGGGGTGTGATGGGCCTAGCAGGAAGAAGGGTCAGGTTAGCCAAGGAGTTCTGAGTTACGATTTCCTTGTCAACTTTTTCTTCTGTCTCAATTTACCCTGTCTTGTCTTCCTCAGTGCTTACTGTTAGGATGGCTGTGCGCCTCCCGGGAGCCCGCTCCTTCCTTTGGGTCCTGCAGTCACAGCCTGTGCCTCGCCGGGAGGGCAATGCCGGTGTCCCCTAATTTATTTATTTTTTTTAGCAATGACACATTTATTTATTTACTAACCAAAGAGATGATCCTGTTTAAATCAACACTTTGAAATAGTTGCATGTAAAATGCTTGTGATAAAGGTAATTAACCAAAGTAATGACAATAAAAAAGCATGGAGATTTGCTCATTGAGCTAAGCTTATTCATTCTCAAAGCTAAGTCCCGTGCAGGTGATGATGGAATGTGTATTCTTCTTGCTCCCAGACTCCAGTACAGGTGATGGCTCTGTGAGAGAGGGGCCTGCAAAGCCCAGGGAGCTCTGGGAGCGCTCGGGATCCCGCGTTCCTGCCTGGCCTGCTCCCTTAGCTCTTTGCTTGTCAATGCATCCTGTGAAGCATTCCTACTTTTCAGCGGTTGACAAGTGGTGGGTGCTTTGGTGTTCTCAGAGCTGCCCAGAAAGACAGATCTCCCGAGCTGCTCATTCTTAGGCCCCGGAACCGCCCTCTGATTCTGATGTCACTTCCTGTCAAGGAATACACTTCCGGTGGTGGGAGAGCGCCTTACACTGGCCTTGCTCGATAATGAAGGCAAGAGTGCAGGCTGTGCATTTCTGGCCTGGCATAATTCTTATGAAACAAATGGGAGTGAAAATTTAAGGCTCTGTATCCCTATTGCATCAACTATGAGTCAAAAGTTCGGGGGAAATTGCATGTGTACTCATAGATGTTTTATTATCTTTCTCTAAGCAATGCAGTACAGGAACTGTTTACACAGAATTTATGGTTACCTACACACGACAAAGTAGGCGAGAGAAAATATGTAGGCTATATGCAAATATAGTAGGAAGCTCTTACATGAGGACTGGACCACCTGTGGATTTGTGTACTTATGAGGCTTCTGGAATCAGCCTCCCTTGGATATCTGGGACAAAATCCAGTTTTTAAAAAATGTTTGTATCTTGAAAGGGTAAAGAATCGTGGCCTATAGCACTGTTTTATTACTACATTTAGTTGATTTTCTCTTTTTTTCTGCCTTTCTTTCCAGTCTGTCCTTCAGAGACAGACAAAGCATTGAAGATGATATCTGGATAAACTGCATGCTTCCAAAAGCCCTCAAAATTAGTGTTGGGGCCAAACTGCACCCCTCACTTTGCAGAGCGCCCAGCACCACTGTCGGGGCCACAAAACCGTCTGAATAGAGAGATGTTCTGTAGAATGTATCACCTTCTTAGCGACCTGTGCTTATTGTAAATCTATTCAGTAAGTTTTTTCTAAAATATTTTTATTTTAAAAAGAATAAAACCAAGAAAAATAAAACAATAAAGCCAATCAAAACTGTAAACGATACAGGGTTTCAACACAAGATAATACAAAATCAACCAATAAAAACAAAACAATGAACACAATATAGGACTTCAAAGTAAGATAATAGTAGAGCCACAAGATAATATATCTTGTTATCTTTAAAATAACTGCCCATACCATTAGACAAAACAAAAATAAAACAAAACAAAACAATGAAAACAATACAGGGCTTTAATACAAGATAATAGAGAATTAACAATGGCTACCACCTTCAGAAGAAAATCTGTAGATGCTTGCTTGGAGATTGGGGATCTAGGCACAGACCCCAACAGCTGGTGCCTGCACAGGGACTCAACAGTTGAGATGTCTGCTGTTACTGTCACTGTGTTCCTGAGGCGGAACATGCCGCCGTTAAGCATCTACCTCATTTTCTCTAGAAAATCCCTGGGTAAGTCATGAGGAATTCCCTGTCTGACGAGCAGCAGAAACATAGGGTATAGCTGCTTTTCTTCTGTAAGGAGGCAGGCTATGGTGCTCCTAAGCTTATCCTCAAATGGCTCAAATTGTTTTAAAAGCTTGGAAAAGAATCCCTGAAGCAACTGAGACTCAAGGTTTCTTTAGTGCTATCAAGCAGGAGGCCACTGAATCTTTTCTTACCTTATAGATAGATTAAATAAAGCTATTGAATGCCAGGTGGATAATATGGCAGCAGCCTCTATTTTGTTAAAGCAGTTGACATACAAAAATGCAAACTAAGACTGCAAAAATATTTTAAAAGATATTTATATGAAACCTGTTACTACCTTGGAAATGCCTGGTACTGTTTATAAGGTTCCTACTACTTTTCATGGTCCTTTACCTCCCAGGGCAACTGGCCTAGTTCTTCCCACATGCATACATCAAAAATAGGCACTTTTGTGATTCCTGATGCGTCATTGATGCTGATTATACTGGAATATTGTTGCTTCAATTGTGGTCTCTTGCCCATTCAACTAAATGTTTCTGAATCTATAGCTCAACTATCTCACCTCATGTCTCCGCTAAAGCTTGTGATGTTACTCATGGAAATCAAGGATTTGGCTCTACCATGATGGCTTCTGCTACTGCCCTGGGAGATGAACGCCCAAGCTTCTCTTTAGCTATGGACAACCTTTCCTTTTCAGGTTTTAGCCGCTCTATTCGATGCTTTACGGGGCCACACAGATCCAGCTGATGTGATCTGACTCTTCTTTACAGCAGGCCCTTCAGAGCGTTGCTCACACACTCGGTGGATCAGGTCTGGGAAGGACTGCCTTCTCTTCTTACTCACTTTCTGTTCAGCCCCTTTGCCCATGTGGCATCTTATTGCCGTCCAGAGGACAAGGTATTTAGTGTTGAATGATTACATTTACCCACTCACCTGGCAATACTTCAAATGAAAGCTGTTTGTTTATGCTGGCCGGGCAACAGCCCTTTTGCTGACCTTTGATGTACATGTGCCTTTATTTTCCCTTGCAGAACCCCTGTTATACTAAGATGCTAAAAATTAAAATAATTGATTAAAAGATAATTAACAAAAAGTTACTTAAAAGATAGTTATTAGTAATATTGTCATTCTGTACTGAGCTCTTTATCCTAGTAACCAAGCACCAACCACATAGTTATAAATTAACTGACCGCGTCGTTCTGCTGTTCTGTAATGCGTCATCCCCCCCCACCTTAGTGACCTGTGTGCTATGTCAACTTTTGTTCCCCTTGTAAGAGACAAATGATGCTGTGTCAACCATTGTTCCCTTTATGAGAGACAAATGTTCCTGGAATTGGCAGACCAAGGGCTATGAATTGGCTAACCACCCACTGTGAAATGCCTCTGACCTCAAGCAAAGGGGAACAAAGGCCCACCTTATTTCTGTTTCTCATCACTATGTACTTAATGATCAATGAGCTAATCATAAATGAACTATAAAAATCAGTCAAAACTCTCAGTTGCACAGCTTTGCAAATTCCATCTGCACTGAGTCGCTGGGCCAGCTAAAATAAAAGTGCTTCTTTTAAAAAGACGTCTTGCCCTGTTTGTCATCTTGGGGTCTTGCCCCATTTTTCATCATGGGGCCTTGTTTTTGAGTAGAGTACAACACTCCTATAGTCCTTTCCAAGATCCTTTTATACAAGATCTCTGCTAATTGGTCTATAACAAATTTGACTGGTTGATTTATAGTTATAAATTCTAAATTTGCAAGAAGTTATTGTAATTCAGTTTGGTTAAGGATGTGTTTGAGTGCACTCTAATTTTGTAGCATGTTTGTCAGTCTGTCCAGGTATCTGTTGTCTGCTTGTCCAGTCTGTTTGTGGGCAGTTGTTGGGAGTTGCTGAACTAGTGATCATTCACATGTTGGAGTGGAGAACACAAGTGCTCGTACAAGGGTGCCCAAGCGGCACAGAGTGCCTGGGGAACACCCTGAGGGCACGGGGTGCTGAAGGTGAGCTAGCCTAGCAAAGGGGCATAGTACGAGTGCATAAGCATCCCCGGGGAACTTGGAGAGTTCTCATGGACTCCGACCAGCTGTGTGCTTGTTTCTGTGTTTATTTCAATCTGTACAGATCATCTATCAAATCGTCTGTCCATGTTTATCTATTTGTTCACTCTGTAAACAGCTGTTCCTTTTAT